TTAACTTATTAAAAACTATTTATTCCTTATTTTTTAAATCACTCAATAATCAACTAAATTGAAATATAATTGAATTTAACATCAATAGTAAAAATGTGGGTCATTAGTAGGGAGAAGTGACTCGAGGACTTCAGAAAACTTCTTAAGATAACTATGAACAAAAATTAAAATATTATCTGTTTTATGTTAATTACATTAAAATGCAACATAAAATAATGAATACATTAGCATTTTCTTGGTTGTGAACTTTAAGAGCTATTGATTGCTTAAATATATTTTAGTCAGCCTTTTCCTTTGGGGTCAAAATAATTAACATCACCATGTATGTATCCTCTTCAGGAAATCATGGACTTGAAAAATTAACTTCATTAGTGTATCTTATAGTTTCATTAGCTATCCTGTAATTTCATATGTAAAATCTACCATGGGTTAAAATTTTGCTTTGCTTTTGCTTTCCTCCCAAAATTTCCCCCCAAAAGAGAGCATATAGTTAAGTGACAAAAACATTTAAAACAATTATGTAAAAAATTGCCAATCTACATAATATTTTAGGAAAAAATGCTCTTTGGTTTCTGAAGTTTTATTTAGATTTTTTTAAAAGATTTTATTTATTTGAGAGAGAGAACATGCACAAGTGGGGGGAGGAGCAGAGGCAGAGGGTGAAACAGGGAGCTGAGCAGAAAGCCCAACTCAAGGCTCAATCCCAGGACTCAGAGATCATGACCTGACATAAAGGCAGACACTTTGCCAACTGAGCCACCCAGGTGCCACTATTTAGATTATTTTTGTAAAGATTGTTGCTTATGTTTTCTACCCTTTCCTACCCATTTCTATGTTTAATGGGTTTTGAGCAATCTGTTTGTGCTAATATTATCTACCTAACCACCTCACTATTTTCTTGATTTGGCCCATTGTCTCTCCATCATACACAAATTGTATGCGTGTTTTGTTTATATGAGACAATCTTTTTCTCCAAATAATGCTTATATAGGCTCCATTGTTTCTTATTTTCTCCTAATCATTTATCTGACCTGTATTATATTATTTGCCTAGCTGCTTTTGGATTTAAATAAACCTAAAGATTAGAATAATTTTATTTATTGTTTCCATTAATGCAGAATTTAGGGGCAGTCCTCTCTCTCTCTCTCTTTTTTTTTTTGAATGAGTGGTTATCAAATTTTTTCTTTACTTCTGTTACATTACAATTTTCTTACACACAGAGAGAGCCATGGGTTAAAATTGCCATGTCTTACTAGCTGTGAGACTGTGGGTCTACTCAGGTTGCCTAACCTCATTTCCTCAGTCTTCTCATCATTAACATGGGGCTAATAATTATGCCAACAATGTGGTTGAAATGTCAGCATTAAGCAAAATAATTAATGTAAAATATCATATAATGCTTCACACATAGCAAATTTTCAGTAATTACTAGCAATTCTGCTTAGTATAATTGCTTTTGTTGTTCTACTTTGAATTCAGTGAAGATGTTCAGGATTATTAATACATTGAACTTAACTATAATAACTTTTATAGGGTAGTAACCTTTCAAGGTGTCTTATCAAGGTGATTCTGAATTTCTTTTCTCCATGAAAGCTTAGTAAAAAGCCAAATCTGAGGTGAAATCTAGGGAGACATCAGCCACTTTCACCTTTTGAGGCCCTAGCAGTTATCCCAAGCAAGAGAAATGCAAACAAGAGGACTTTCAAGCCCTTACTGATGTTTTAGTCTTTTCTGGTGTAAGGCAGTAGGTATGAAGGAAAAAGACAAATCTAGTTTTCATTCAATACTGTGGTCCAATGTCAGTATGCTAAAAGAGTATTTGCATTCCAAGAAAACAACACAAGACCAGATATAAGATCTCTTGTGAGAGTGAGGCGGAAATCAAACCATCATCATTGACTTGGTTAACTCTTTCATTGCTGTATCTGGGGCTCCATTTTACAGCTGTTCTTTCTTTCAAGGATATATGACAAATGTTATTAAATAACCATGAGAAAGATGACTGCTATTTAAGATGAAGAAAATTAAGGAGTTGACTTTCTGTAGTCTTAATCACTTAAGGAGGAGTTAACTATCTTGGGTAGGAGATAATTACCCACCATAGTGAATAGTGTCCCAAGTTTTCTTTGACATGCCCAGTTTAAATTTCTTTCATCCCAATATATAAACTTAGAGTTGTTAGATAATTTGTTCCAGTTTTTCATTCAGAAAATATTGCTATTGTGTTGATTGACATAAATCATAAGCTATGGGTACTTGGAGAAGGAGAATCAATCACTTCTTTCTGTGAAAAGATCAGTCTTGAATGCTTATACTCTTTGGACACTGGGTAGGATTTTAGATGAGAGATGTGTATGTGTGAGTGTGTGTGGGAGGGAAAGTGTTAAATATTTTTAGGGGGTGAATCTTCTGTGGGATGGAGTACCAGGCATAAAAACAAAGAGGTATGAGGCAATTTAGGGAACACTGAATTTCAAATTTTAAGGTAAAGTAAAATAGAAAATTTATTTAAGATCTTTGTAGTAGAATACTTTCAATGTTAGGCTGAAGAAATTGAATAATTTTGTAGTCAATAGTAAATAATTGGAGATAGGTGAGCAGGGTAGTAACATAGAAATACAAAGGATATTGAAGGAAAGGGAACTTGAAGATCTTTTTCTCCAAATCATTTTATTGATGAGGATACTGAGAGCTATAGAAGTAATATAACAAGCTCAAAGTCCCATTAAACTGCCTATGTTCCATAGTAGCATTATTACGTATCCCTAGGCTTTAGATAACTTAGTTGATATTCTGTTCAAATGTTTTTAAGTAATTCAACTATAATTTGGAGGGAGGAGTTCACATTTTGAATGGTCTTCAAATAGAAATATAAAATTCAACTTTGCATCAGGATTTTTGCCAAACTGAAAGGCTGATTCATTGCCATTTCTTTAAATTTGCTTCATGCATTTGGAACACATTATAATAGAAAGAAGCTGCTTTTAGATTTCTGGTGCCAAAACATTTTGGGAAAAAAAATCAAAGATTTGCTTCCACCTCTTTATAAAATTGCATCACCGCTTCTTTATTCTTTCATCTTTATTGCAAATATTTAAACAGAAAACAAATGTCATCAGCTAAAAATGATGAGAAATTTATTGTGAAGACAAACAGGGCTCTAGATGTCAAAGCTAGTGAGCAGACTCCCCTTCATTAGGTGTGAATGCAAACCCAATCTTCCCAGTAGTTACTATACAACAAATTAAACAAGATACTTTTCTTCTAAACTCACTTTTCGTACATGCTTTATTTGCAGTATTTACTACTATTGCCCTTCAGATGTATCTCTTTGAAAGAATGAATGAGAAAATTAAAGAAAAAATAATAAAGCAAGAGAATACATAATAGAGGGGGAGCACAGAAAGTCAATTGTTTTAAACAGTTTTTTTTTGTAATTAATTTGTAAGTCAGTGCAGTAGAAAACACGAAATTAAAATATTTTTTAAACCCTGAAATTATTTGACTCATGCTAATTTCACAGGAATTAATTGCATATAGCTACATATCTTATAATTTCTAAAGTTCTAACACATTCTATCAATGACATTAATGAATTAAATTATCACATCGTGAAGTACCTGGCACACTGCAAATTTCAGTAAGTCAAATTCTTTGACTCTCTGAAATTTCAATTAGAGTCACGGTGTCTATATTCAGAAATTCTACAATTTACTTCTGAAGGAAATGTTGCCTAATTATCCCATCCCAGCTGCCAAAGTATTGGAAGAATAGAAAGGGTGAACAGCAAAGAGCGATATGGGTGTTTAAGAAACTAGCCACGGACCAGCACAGCCTGCGAATGCGTGGCTATGTGACGACAAGGTTGTTGATGCCACAAGCCTGCGATGGGCAGCAGGCAACATGCCAAACCAAAGGACCCGCTTCTCCAAGGGCTGCCGGCTGAGCCTAAGGCTGATTTCCCTTCCGCCTCCCGGGAGCCCCGGTGTTCGCAGGCACCGTCAAGAGAATTCTTCGCCCTAATTATCCGGGGAGGAAGACGCACCTTTCCCGGAGACCGCTAGGCAACACTCACCACCGCAGCCTTCAGATTACTTCCCTCCGCGAGTGGGTGACTTCGTCTAAGCAACTCACACTTAACAGTAGATTCTCACTGGCGAGGCTGCGAGCAGCAAGAGGGCGGGGGAGCTGGGAAGAGGAGGAGGGAGGAGGGTGGGAGGTACAGAGCCGGGAGGCAGAGGAGACGACGCAGCTCCAGACACAGCAGGAGCGCGCCGTGGCGGTGCAGTTTCAACCTCGTCCTCCCAGCCGCGCGCCAACCACCTCCTCCCCGAGCAGCGGGAACCGCAGCAGCTCCGGGCTGCCGCCGCCGGGCTCCGCGCTCCTGCCCGCTCGCAGCCGCCAGTACCTCCCCTCGTCAGCACTCAGCCCGCAGCTATTTATTTCCTTCTGCCAGCCTCTGAACTCTCTGATCTTTTCCTTTGCTCGCCTCTCTCGTCTTTTCTCCACCCTGTATTTTCTCAACTCCTTTCCTTTATCCTTAGCCACCCTGTCTTTTTCTCCTCTTTTATTGAGGATTTTTCTTGACTTAAGATGACTTGTCTCCCTTACCTTCATCATTTCAGCCCTGAAGACTGAAAAGGAACCTTTATTTTCCCCTCAGGGGCATTTTGAAGACCTCAATCCTTAAAAGTCTTAAGAGACAGAGAAACAGGACGCGGGACCTTCTCGACACCCTTGAGTCCAGTCCAGAACTGCACTATCAACCATAACTAGTATTTAAATTAAGCCCACTGAAGAGAAGGGAGACAGGAGCCGGAAGCAAACTTCGGCCGGCTCAGAGGATCCGCGGTTCCCGCATTTGGAAGAGCCGCGTGCCAGAAGCCAAGGGACTCCACGGGGAACGCGGAGGAACCGCGAGCCTCCCTCGCCCCCTCCCCGAGGCCGGGGCGGTGGACTGAGCCGCGCGGGACAGCAACGCGGGAGGCAGTTAGGAGAAGATGCGGGGCTCGGGGCCCCCGGGTGCGGGACGCCGGAGGCCCCCGGGCGGCGGCGACGGCGACACCCCCAGCACCCCTGCGTCTCTGGCCGGCTGTTACTCCGCACCTCGCAGGGCCCCCCTCTGGACGTGCCTTCTTCTGTGCGCCGCGCTTCGGACCCTCCTGGCCAGCCCCAGCAACGAAGGTAGTGTTGGGGGTGGGGACCGCAGCGACCTGGGGCGGAGGGGCGAGGCGGGGCCTGGAAGTGCGGGTGCGGGCGCTCTGGACGCTGCTGCCGCGGACGAAATCTCACCTCGCATCACGAATTAACATTTGTCCGCTTTCGCCAGCCGTTTCGCTCCCCTCTGCTGTGTCTGGTTGCATTGTTTTACATTAGGTGCGGAGCGGTGGGCGAGGAACCTGCGTGTGGACCGAGGCTGGTTGGGGGGCTGGGAAGTTGCAAGCGGGGAGGAAAGAGAGGTCTGAGACCCGCGCCAGAAGGTTGGGTGCGGCTGGTTCTCACTTGAAGCGCGTGGGGAAGTGACATTTGGGGCTTGAAGGAGTGGGAACTGTCTGAAGCTCAGCGACAACGATCTCGGGAGCGGTGGGCTTTTAGAAACCGTTATTTGAGGCCGGTGATGGGAAATATTGTGAGGGTGGCTGACTGATTTTATTTTGGGGGGAAGTGCCTTCTGGAAGCTGTTATTTAGGGCATCGCCAGCTGCTATTCTGGGGTGGGTGGCAAGAGCTGTTATTTCTCGAGGGAGGGGAATGGCGAAGGACAGAAGGCGCCCCACACTGTGGGGTGCCCTTCACTTTGGGGGCTCATAATCACCCTGAGGTGAAAGTGGAAGAAGGCGGGAAGGTGGGATGAGGCGGAAGGGGGGGTGGAGTGTAGCTGCCAGGAAGTTGCTGCTCAAACCCACCCGGGCTTGTGTCTCGGTGTTTGCGTGAGGGAAAAGCCGCGCTCCGGCCGGCGCCGGATCTTGGAGTTCCCAACCCTCCTCCCCACCCCCAATCCTGCGCTCCGGACCCTGAAGGCTGTCTCCGCCTGCCGCTGGGCGAGTAGAGTCGGCTCCGCGGGAACAGCACCTGTGCGGCGCTCGCTGCTCTCAGAGCTGCGCTCAGCCCCCCGGGCCCGCCACCGTTCGCCTGGCCGCCCTCGGCCCTCGATCTGCTCCAGCCGCGCTTGCTCCTCTCACACCCCGCCCGCGCTGGGTCTCAGCTCAAAGGCTCATTCCTCTAGAATGGGGGTGGGAGGTGTAGCATCTCAGATCCAGATCTGGGCTGCGAGACGCGTTCAGCTCCACCACGCAAACATCAAAGACCCTGCCCCCTGGCTGGAATACTGGGGTTTCGATTTGAGGCTCCCCAAACCACGGGTGAGGCACAGAACCTTAAAAAAATCCCTTCCACACCTAGGGCAGGGGACGCTGGACCGGAAAGATGAAGCAGCAGCCTTCGGGGTCGTGTGTGTCCTCGTGACTTGCGCGGGTTGTGTGGCTGTAGGAGAAGGCGCTGAGCTGGTTTAGGAGCGCTGCCAGCTCCCTTAGGAACCTTGTGAAAGCAGGGCAGATCGAGACTCCCTGCCCCACCCCATGAACTTCTCTCTTTAATTCTTACATTTATTGTTTTAAATCTGATTTAAGGATTCTATGTAGCTCACTCTATCTAGTTATCTAGCTATGGCAGTCTCCCATGCTTAACCCAAACAATCTGCATCTTTTCCCCTTCCCGATAAAGTTGAGAAAGTCTTTTAAGTGGTAGTCCTTTTATTAACCTCTCATGTTAGATTCATTATGTTAGAAGTCCGGAGGATTATGACAGGGTTTGGAATCCTTTTATTAACTGTCTTATTCCACCGGAAGGGGCATCCTGGTTTGGATTTAAAGAGTAACAGTAATGTCATTCATCCTTTCCTGTTCCCATTATATTTCAGTTTTTTTTTTTCCCCAGGTGTGATGAGGGAAGTGGTTTATGTACAGATGAAAGGGAGTAGGGGCTCTTGGTTAGAGAAGGGGAAAAAATGAAATCTCAGGGAGGGTGATGCTGAATGGGCACAAGGGCCAAGACTGCGCCAGGGAGGAAGAGGCAGAGGGATTTGGAGGGAAGCTAGGAAATAGCACCGGTCTCTTAAGGTGATGTAAGCAGAGCTCAAATCTTCTGGAAGGTAGACTGGTTGATATCACAGACCTAACAACCACAGGTTGTATTGTCTTTACGCCAGCTAGTCGAACACACAGCAAAACTTGGGTTGTAGGGAGGTGAGGATCGCAGGGATCTATCACTATTAAACACAGTAGGAAATAAAATCGTCTTAATATGTATGACTTCACCTCATTCATTCCATCTCTGCCTAACAGTTTTCCATCTTTCCATAAGTATCATCTCAGACCATTGCTCTCCTTTTTGTTTCTCCATGTGTTATTATAAATCAAGCAATAATATATTAAGATACTAATAACAGGAGTTTGTTTATTTATTTAAAGATTCCAATTGGAGTTTTTAAGTTTGTTTTTGATTATTTCTGGAAGTTCTTTGGAAGATCAGGGGCAGAAAGATTTGATGTATGCACTGCATCCATTAATAACTTGCTCTCATATATTTTGCCTTCTGCAACCTATAAACTTAGTGATTTCACAGACTATACTGTATGTGCGTGCATATGTATATATATATGTGTGTGTATATATAATATGAATGCTCCCATTATGTGAGAAAAAAATTCAAGGCAGATAGACATAAATGTGACTTTACATTCCTAATTTGTATTCTAGTCATTTTTAAAATTTAACTTTTGTAGACATAAGTAAAGCAGAACTGAACAGGAAAAGCCAAATACATATCTAGAATCTTAAATTGAGATGGAATGAATGTTAGGATATGTTGGATAAAAGACAATAAAGAGGAAAATGTACTCTTTAGATTCAATTCTAAGATAAGATAAATATATCTTTAGTTGTCTTTTTACATACATTAGGCATAAATTACATTTGGAAGAAACCTTTGTACTACAGTCTAATACAAAACACTTCTATTATAAAATAATTCAGAGGCATATTTAGCAACTTATCTCTGAGATTGATCAAGCAGGGCAAACATTAGCAAGTATATCAACAAGTGAAAATGTTAATAGATTTAATAAGTAAAGAGAGCATGTCCACTGTTACGAATATTGGAGGTGGCCCTGAACTTATTCAGTAACTGCCACTTTTTGCTGTCTGGAGATATATTTGTAAACAAGCATTATTTGACAAGTGCTTTTCGCAGCAGGGATTCTTGGCCAATTACTGCTGAACAGCTCTGCATTGAAAATGATTCACCCGCAGTGAATCAAGCTTAATTCATTGAAGCTACAGTCAGTAATGTCCCAGTAAAGTGCTTCTGACAGTTGTCAGCAGTTTGTATTTGAAAAGTCCAGTTTCTTGTCTCTGAATGTTTTTTATGTTTGAGAAGGTGGGGTGGAAGGACTCTTGGGGGAAAAACACACACATACACACACACACAGAGCGGAAAAAAAATTTAGGCTAAAGTGTTAAACAGTCATAAAATTGTAGATGTTTTCAATGGAAAGAAAGGAAAAAAGAGTTTGTTTTAGGGTTTTTCTTAGTTTATAATAGGACCAGGCCCATAAAACAGATTGGAGGACATAATAGATTTGTAAAACTAAATGGCTTTGTTTTGTGGCCTTGTCATTCTGTTATAATTCATTTCCTTTTAGATAAACCGGCAGGATCCCACAGAAAAAGGACAGTAAAATCATTCCCTCACCAGGACACTACTGAACAAAAAAAGAGAGCAATCACCCTTATTTGAATCTTAGGTGGTTGGAAAGAGAAGAGGCCATGAAGGGTTTTGGCTTTTTGCTTTATAAACCATGAAAGGGGGTAAAGGGTTGACTCTTTAATTTTAAGCTTTTTTTTTTTTTTTTTTGAGGTAGACAAAAATCTTGGGTGTAGGGTGACAGGTAAGAAGATTTTATTTCCTCACAGAAGACAGAGAAGACGGTGGACAATTCCTGCATTTACAATGAAAATTTCTCCTTTTATTGAAAATATTCTTTTTGTAATATCACCAGTTGTAAATACTATTAACTCTTTATTTCAATCCACATAGGATTAATAGGGTTTATTTTTTATACTTAGAAATGCATTACTGTACTTACCATTATTTATATAATTAATACTCTACGAAATGTGACCATTTAGAATATTTCTACATAAAATGTCAATATTAGATGATACAGCTATTTATAGACAAACATCCCCAAACTATTTAAGTAAATGTTAGATTTTACTAAGTATTGCTACTGTTGCGAAAATGACTGTGCTTTTCTTATTTTCACTACACTTTTGCTGATTGACTGACTTGACCACTTGAATCTCTTTTGTTTGGAGTGCTTTCTTATGTATTTGCTTGAATGACTAATTAATTTCTCTTTTATTTGGAAGAAACCTTTCTACGTTTGACTATAAAAATAAACTATGATGTATATTATTATAGTAACTAACTATAGCTATATTTACTTATATGAGGCAAACTTGATGTTCTTTTTTAAAAAAATTTGCTGCTAATATCTTAAAGACATAACTACTATAGAAAGTATTGATAACTCTTTATACTTCATTTTTGCATTTAAATTACCAGATATATTTCATTTTACTAATGAGTAGTTTGAATTTAAATTAGCAGAGTTACCTAATTATTCAAACACAATTTATGCATTCTTGACCATTTTAAAATAGTTTTACAATTGTTTTCATAAAGCATCAATATTAACTGAAGTTTGAATATGCAGCCTTGCTTATTACAAGCCATTAAAAATTGTTTGCAGTATTGGTCCATTTTTCCCTTTCAGAAATAGTAAATTTTTACTATAAAAGCAATATGCAAGCAAAAAATGTAAATTAACGCCTTAGAGACTCAGAATGATTCTTGCAGTTCTAATATCTCTGGTGAGTATGTATTTATCTGTAGAGCAGAATAGCTCCTACTGGTAGCTCTACTGGGTAAATACATATTTTGTTATTTTATCAAAATTTATATAATCAGTTCGTTAGGTAGTGATTTCTTCAAAGGAGTTATCCTAGTCTACTGTATACATAAGCACACTTAATGGTGTTTTTAATTCACATTAAAAATTTTATCCTATGTTTTATCCCAGACGAGGTGGTAGAATATAAAAAATAAAATGAGTTCTAAAGG